CAAGATTTTTCTAGGTTTTTGTCAATTTTTCTTCCAGATAAATCGGAAAATTTGAAAAAAAGTGAAAACGAGCGAAAAAATTTTAAAAGTTTGAATTCGCGCGCTTTTACTCACCGGGCGGCCTAGAAAAAACCTCGTCCCTAAGGGCTTTCATCGTATTTTTCGATGCGTTTTTCTCGATGAAGGAATTTTTTTTGAATGTTTTCTTTATTTTTATGTCAATCTACATGCATTTCTGCACATTTTGATGCAATAAAAAATTTCACCGTACACCACCTTTAAAATGGCTCATTCATTTGTAATGATTTCCGTCGAAAACTCTCTACACACAGAGTATGTCCAATCAGATCGTAATGTGACACGTGACACGTTTTAGGATAAGGTGCATTCGACCTTGTTCATCTCTTCATCGCACGACAGTACTCCACAATCTCTTTGAGCTTAATTATCTCGGTCCCTATAAAAGGTATCAAACATTTGTTCACTAGTTAAACATTTATCATAAAATAAACAACATTTTATCAGTTGACAGATGTTTGATATCTCTTACAGGAAGCGAGATAATTATAGCTGCTGACAGTCTGTCCGGAAAACTCATACCTTCTTTGTTCACATTCTGTGGCATAGTGACCATACTGGGAGCACTTGAAGCACTTGACTCCTCCTTTTCCACCTCTGCCTCCACCGAATCCCTGGCCTCCATATTGCCGAGCACTTCCCTGGCCTCGGAAAGTGCTCTCATGTCGAAATCACGGTTGTCACTGCGCATACGGCTCTGCCCTACGTCTTTTGCTTTCTCCGTGGAATCCTCCGCTTCCGTTATTGCCGGCAAGATTAGAGAGGAGAAGGATTGAAGTCATGTCAGATTGCGTCGTCGAACTTTCAGAATCGACTCCAGCGATGGCCTTCAAGGCGTCTAACTTATCCTTCGTCTGCAGAAGACTTGGATCGGAATCCAGAAGCAGCAGCTCTCCGTTTCTTGCCTTCAGTAAGTCTTGAACTTCCTTAACTGCCTCCTCCAACTCTCCGTTGGCTGCCGCCTTCGTCAAAATATTTCGGATTTTGAAATTGAAATCCAAGTTCTTCTGAATGCCTTTTGACGAAACTTTCGGTGGCTTCTCATCCTCTGCCTCTCTCTCCTTCTTCTTCATCTTTTCAGTTCCGTTTCCTTCACCATCTCTGCCATCTTGCCCAAAATTTTTTCACCGAATTGCTTCAGAGCATCTTTATCGACAGATTCCGCCATTCCTGAGCAATATTTTAGCTACGAAGATAAATACGACAATTGAAAACAGTCAAAATGACCGTTTTCTCCACGAATTCAAAATAATCCAAAAAAATCGATAATAATTTTTTGAATTTCTAGATTTTCTGATTTTGGAATTTCAAAATTTTGGGATTTTTTTGAATTTCAAGAATCGAAAAATTTGGAATTTCTGGATTTTTTAAGGTTTTCGAATTTTAGGATTTTCGGAAATTGAGAAATTCAGAATTTACGAATTTTTGGAATTTTTAAGTTTTTGAATTTTCTAAATTCTGAAATTGGTATATTCTGGTTTTTAAATTAAAAAAAATTTTGAATTTCTGGATTTTTTAAAATTCGCATTTCAAAAAAAAATTAAATTCGAGTTGCAAGTTTTTGTATTTTCGAAATTCTTGATTTTTTAAGAATGCATTTCGGAACTTCTGAATTTCGGAACTTCTGGATTTTTGAATTTCTGAAGTCCTGAATTTCAAAATTTCTGAATATCTAAACTTTTCTACTATTTTTTCCATCCATTTTTTAAAATTTTCTTTTCAGCCAAAGAAAAATCACAGTGCCAATAATTTATTAGAAATCTTGTAAAAAAAAGATAAAAATCAAATTTTCATATTTTTGCAAAAATTCCAATTTAAAAAAAAAGAGATGAAAATTGTGTGTCGATGTGTGCACGAAATCGATTGATCAGAAAGAGAAAAGGAGATCGAAATATAATTATCTGTGTGGCTTTGGCGGGAAAATTCAAAAATTTGAAAAATGCGATATGGGACAGGAAGGAGAAAGAGGAAAAAATTGTCAATAGAGCGAATTTTCAGAGTGAATAAATGTAAAAATTGGGAAATTTTTTGATGGGGAAAAAGTGGGAAAATTGGCGGAAATTGGAAAAAAAAACTCAATTTTTCAGATTTTTTTTCAGAATCTTTTTTCAAATTGCCACCATTTTCTAGAAACAAAAAAAAACAAAAAATTTTAAGCATCAACAGTATTCGAAGTTCCCGGCTCATCTGAGGCTCCGCCCCTCTCCGTCATCGGCTCATCCGGTACCGCCTGTCTCTGCTGCGTTCGCATTTTTCGCTCCTCCACAAAATTGCGAATTTGTTTCAGTGTGAACGCGTCGACGAACGACTGGCCGATGGCGGTGACGAACGATTGAATCGTGCCGCCCATGATGACGTTACAGTAGGCAATGCAGATCAGGAGGACCAGGAATTGAACGGAGAAGACGAGGATGTAGAAGCCGCGCGAGTTTAGGGAGCTCTGAAATATTTGAAAGATTGATTTTGGAGTTTTTTTTAAATTTTGAGTTCGGGAACATTTCGAAATTCCAAAATTCCGAAATTTCAACTGTATTTTTCTGAATTCCAGTCGGGGATCCTCTAGAGACGA